CAGTTCCGGCCCAGGTCCCCGCACTTACTGGCCCAGGCGGACCCCTGCCATCGCCACACACCACCGCCGCCGCGTTTTGGCTGACATGCGGCTGCGCATGCCGCGGCTGCCATTTTTATTTCCAAAATGGCCGCCACGCCGCATTTGCGCATCCACATGCACATGCACAGGAGTACTGTGCATGCACAAACACGTCGCTTCCGTCATTTTGGAAATCAAAATGGCGGCCGCGACATGCTAGGAGGCAGCTGCGGCCGCGTGTGCCGCAGTGGTGGTCGCGGCGGCGGCAGTGCACACAGGGGGTCGCGCACAGCGGCGGGTGTGTGCGCGCTTTGCCATTCCCGCCCCTCGGCCCGGCGGAGGGGAGGACTTCGAAGGACCAGCCCCCGACTCAAAAATGTTGCCTACCCCTGCCATAGGGAATCATTGGAGAATACTTGCATCCTGGCAAAGGAGGACCTCTGAATATGTGACCTTCAGGAAGCATGTGGAAGATACAACCAAAGACCAAAATCTAAACACGCTTAATATAAAAGCAGGTCTCTCAAGTTATGCTCCAAATGGAGGATGCTTTGGAAATCCTCCTGCACTGAAATGAAAGCACCACATCCAGCTTTTTAGAGAGGGTTGTGTGTGTGTTAGATTGTAAAACCTTTCCTTACCTCTCCAAAGAAAAGAACAGAAAAGAACAGAAAGGATGTGTACACCTTACATGAGCTTTGAAGGGAATTTGGTGGTGGTGCTTTTTTTATGCATGGGAGGAAGGGGTGGTTGTGGTGGTGGTGGTATAGGACATTTATATGGCTAAGCCAGGAATCAAACCGTGGTCTCCAGAGTCGTAGTGCTACTCTCAAACCCCTGTGCTACACTGGCTCTTACAAAACTTTTAAAAAAATTACAAACCCAGAATTCCATAGCATTGAGCCATGACAGTTAAAGTGGTGTCAACTGCATTATTTCTTCAGTTCAGATAAGGCCTTAAACAGACTTATGGTGACCCTATGAATGAGAGACCTCTGTCACCCTGTCATCACAGTGCTCTCAGGTTTTGCAAATTCAGGGATGTGGTTTCCATGATTCAGATTATCCATCTGTAAATAGGCTCTTCCTCTTTTTCTACTGTCTTCAACTTTGCCAAGCATTATACAGTAGTCTTTTCTAGTGAGTCATGTCTTCTCACGATACATCCAAAGTATGACTGTCTCAGCTAAGTCATTATGGCTTTGAGGGAGAGTTCAGGCTTCATTTGCTTTCCGTTAAATTGTTTCTGACTTATATGGTGACCCTATCACTGGGTTTTCTTGGTAAGATTTGTTCAGAGAGGAATTCCTTTTCTCTTCTCTGAGGCTGAGAGAGTGTGACCTGCTCTACAACCCATTTGTCTTTTTGTCAGAATATGGTATCCACAGTCCTACATTTCAAATTAGTTGATCTTTTCCCTATCCGTTTGCTTCACTGTCTAGTCTTCACAGCCATACATAGAAATTAGAAATACATTGGCACAGACAATCTTGACCTTGATATTGACTGATATATCTT